AAGGTAAGGTTAGTGAGTTGTTTTTGAAACACTTATTTTAATTGTTGACGTCATCTTCAGGCCTCGAAAGCCATCAATAAGTAAAACAAAAAGCATTTATCCGGACTGTCATAAACAAGACCAATTGTTTTATTTGGACCAAATGAACAGATATATTACTGTATGCAACTTGACAGGATTGTTGAATTATATGTTAAATATATAACCCCACAGTTTTATGGCACACTTGTATTGCAGTTTTATGGCTCAAGCAGAATGGGCTTCATATTAAGCCTGACTTACCAAACGGTTTGAGGTTTTCAACTACTACCTTTCAGATCCATACATTTACTGACATGTAGATACACCCATGTATCAATCACCGTATAGATGTCTGTTACCTTGGGGTGCAAACAGGTTTGAGTACCTCATCTGCTGACTTAAAGGAATGACAGCTTTTGCCAGGTGAAAAATACCTTGTCTGAAGAAAAGTAGTATAATATTCACGTCTGCAGTATGACATCCAACTATGTCAGTCGAAAGTAAGAAAAAATATTAGACAATGCACAGAGGAGTTATAACAACTTCCTCCTTCATGGCCACACCCCTGTTGAAAGCTCACTGAATATACAACTTTTGATCAAAAAGTCCCTAACATGTCGTATATCAAATTTGAAGTTGATACTTTTTACTGTCAAAAGCCGGTCATCCAACTTCACACCTTAACATGCCATGTGCTCCTCATGAGGAAGAAAGAAAGAAATACACAAGTATAACACGTAAATACACAGCAAGAATATCTCGGAGCAAAGACACACACACACAATCCAGGCACTTCTAATTATTTCCACTTGGAAATGCAAATAAGGGACTTCATCTTTGATTAAGCATGAGTAAAGCTCCTTGTTGGTTTGTAATGTTCTCCTCTCCCAGCCCAGTTGTGGGGAGAAGGATAGGGGGAAAGTATTGGGATACAGAAACTGTAATTAATTAATGTAATTAATGTATCATGCAAGATATTTCTAATTAGCCCCCAGTCCCTCCCTATTTTGCACCAGATACTGTTTTGGCCTATCTCCCTGATCTGTAGAATAATAGATATAAATAATTACACAGAGTCTGGCACTGGGATTAATCTGGCCTCTCAATTTACATAATTTGATTTAGCCAATTAGCATAAAATGGTAGCAGTGTCTACATTTCACGACTGGGCTTTCTCAATATACTTTTGTTAAATGGAGGAATAGAATTGATAATGATATTTCAATAGAAATGCATTGTTTCAGTCCCAGACAAAGAGGAGAGCCTAAACATGAACAGTATTTACTGAGCTGCACCAAAGAACCAGTAGGAGGGTCAGTGCTCAAGGGGTCATTGGCAGAAGTGGAAACGTTTTTGAGTATTATTTATTCATGCAACATATTAGATTGTATATCAGTACTATAATGAATCAGTATTGAGAGCCTACTGTCCTGTCCCAGTACTGTGGCATTAATGAGAGACCATGTCATGTCTTGAAAGTAATAGAAGCCAGTGTTCCAGGTACTGGAGAACCGCTATAGAGGAACAGAACTTAGTGTTTCTGCAAGGGCTGCAAATACTATTTGATTTAATCAATAACAAACATAGTTGGCGACTAATTTAGTAATTGACTCTCTGTTATGGCACACGCCGGCAGCGTCTCTTGAGAAGGGGGCAGTAAACCAGCCAATCATGTGCCTTGTGTAGGTCATGTGACGATGCCATCTCTTCTCTGGACTAAACATTAACAAAATGGTGGAGACAAACCCAGCTAATGAAACAGGAAAGAAGTCAACTAGTTTGGGAACACTTAACATTAAGTTCTGCAAACTGTACTGAGCTGATTATACATGGAACACAATGTGATATGAAGCTAAAGAGAAAATGTGTTGGAGCCATTCTTCCTCTTCTTTTTTGGTTTACTAGTGGATTGTTCATAACACAGTGATATTGTGCTGCTATGTCATCTGAAATCAGCTGAACACAATTTCTCTTTGAGGCTTTAGTGTAAAATTAGGAGAGTGTAGCAGTGATCAACAGACCTATAGTCTGAATGAAGACAGGGAGCTCCCATAGCGAACACAAAGCAATGAAACAAAAACACAAACCATAATTTCTGAGTGTTTCACAGCGATTATGTTCTTAAGCACATGCCGGAAGAGTTTTGTGTTTATACACACATGAAGTCAGCCCAGGGCAGCTTGTCTGCTGTGAGTGATAGACACACCTCTGGTCAGACAGGGAGAGCTCTGTCTCAGACACATTCAACAGGACATGCCGTTATATTGTAAGTCTTGACCTTCTATGTAAAGTGCCTTGAGATAATGTATGTTGTGATTTGGAGCTATACAAATAAAATTGAATTGAATTGAACTTGAGTTAAGTGTGTGAAAGCTGAGAATTAACCTCATATGACTTGGGCCCTGGCACCTTCCTAGAGGTCGATCAAACCGGCCACTGGTCAGCCTCAGGTGGCCTTGGAAAAAACAGTCATCCAGACACAGCTTCTGGAAGAAACTAAAACAAAACTGGTTCCTCACTTACAGGGCCAAAAAAAACAACTCGGTTTAACATGCTGGTAATTGTGTCAGTAAAACGTGTGAGGTCAAACCTACTACCTAATCTAAAAAATATTTCATGTACAAATAACCAACGCACAGAAGAAATTTAAATAAAATATTGATGAGTTTGGTGTACTGTATCACAATGCAAACTATTCCTATTTAAATCACTTATTATATATTATATTATTATATTAGCTGTTGTATATTGGGTTAGGTAATTAAATATTTTCCATTATTTTACAGGCTTAATGGGAAGGGGTTAGACTTAGGGTTATCTTTATATCAACAGGGGACACAGTATAACAAGAGATCAGGACATAGTTGTAGATAATGTACCATGTACACAACTGTATAGATGTGAAACAATCAGTAAATATCTGGGTGTAAATTCAACTTCATAATTAATATTGTTATTGTGGCCTGTTTGACTGTTCAACATTTTTAAATAATCAGCAGTCTCGTTGACTGCTAATCTGGATCAGTACTGAGAGACCAGTATAATAGATCAGTATCAAGATACCGCAGTATAGTCAAACTACTAACAGACTTACTGGACCAGTATTGAAAGACCTCAATACTAGATCACTACTAAAGCTGATATACTGCATTTATTCTAAGAGACAACTTCAATGGGACCAAGTGTAGCCCCTGAAAGGTACACAGCACTGTTTTGGATTACATTTGCCTGGCTATTTAGGCCCGTTTACAAATGTCAACTGTAGGTTTGTTTGCCCTTTCATCTGATTTGTATTCATCCTACATTCTTTGCATTGGCTTGTTGCTTTTTTTACTTATATATTTAAAATAAATATGTTTATTTCTTCAACTCATACGTCAGGGTTTCCTCTATTATCTTACTATACTACCATACATGTTCTCATTCATGGGATATCTATGATAAACATATTTTTCTAAATGTATTTGATTGCAGTCTTCTTTGACTGTAACGCTAACTAGACAATTTATATGTGATATTCATTGTAATTGATAGTTATTAAGTTATTGTTACAGGCTTGATATTGTTGCATTTTGTTGTTTTGTTGTTGAATGTATTATTAAGTGTTGATAAGTCACTCATAAATCACTTTAGATGCACTGGTGGAGCTGGGGGCAACAAACACTGAAAACACCAGGGAAAAAACATTAGGAAAACCGAGACCATCTGGGACATTACGCATCATGTATCTGTTGCCGTCAAGTAGCACCACAGACTATCCAGGAACTTGCTGATGCCCTGATCCAGGTCAAGGAGGAGATCCCCCAGGACATCATCTGCTGTCTCATCAGGAGCATGCCCAGACATTGTTGGGATTGCATGCAGGCATGTGGTGGCCACACACACTTCTCAACAACCTTATGAGTTGTAATGAACATTTACACAAGTTGGATCAGAAAAATGAAGCTAGTAAAACGTAGGAAATTAGCTCCTCGGTATAATTCTAACAAGAATTAAAACAAGCATCACAAACACTAGAAAGAAGGTGCTGCTCCAGCCCAGCCTGGAAAGATAGCCCTCAAATATGTAAAATGGTCTTCCTACTCCTACTTTCCAGATTAATAGAGGAAAAAAAAACAACCTTAGGATTCTCCCCAGCACTATAGCCTGGCCGATAGCCACAGCTCTATTGAACCCAGTGTTCCTCCAACCGTTAAAAGCAAAATGACTTTATGTGCTTCTTTACTGATGAAATTGTAATTATTTGAAACAAAATTCACCATCACCTGTCCTCCATTGATGCTGATGTATCTCTAAGCGCGGAAACCTCAGGGGCAGCTTCTCTCAGATCAACCATGATCAGCTAACTTTAGTTATCTCATCATTTTGTACAATCACAACAAATGAATTCAAAGGAACGATGCCACCTCATCCAGAGGCAGAAACTTTCTTAATGCGAGATACCAATGGGTCCCTGACCTGGTGCAGGACTCTGGAATGAAGCATTCACACCAGCTCAGGAGTCCAGCATCACTCCAATCAGTCATTCCCAACTGCTAAAAAAACAAAAGCAAAGAAGTAGGTCCCATCCCCAACATCACTTGCATCTACTTGCAGCTGGAAAGGCAGGCCCAGCCGGTGAGCCACAACCACAGGATCTGATGACAAAAACTTGTATTGAACTGCCAACCTTCTTGTTAGAGGATGACCGTTCTAACCTCTCAGCCACATCCGGCCAATTCACTTATATATATGAATGTCACAACATAAACACTTGCAACACTGTTCCCATTTTAAATTAAAAGCATATTTTTATGGTGCCCTAACCCTAACCCTAAAAAAATATAGATATAACAAATATCTGATAGAAAACTGGAATGTATGCTTGATGTATGATTTGACTTTGGCTCCATCTAGTGTTCTAATGGCACACATTCAGTCCTGCAGAAGGCCTCTCTGTTGCTGATTGTGATCAAATCCACTGATGCTGCACATGCTTGTCTGATTAGCAGCTACTTAAATTCTGGTGTGTCTGTTGTCCATTTGAATCACTTTACTGTTTGCTTTGTGCTTTTCACATCCAAGTTCTAAACAAGGTAAAGTTACTCTACTTCTCTACAGAAGACATGAAAAATGCATCTGCAGACTTTTAAATTAAATATTGACATATATAAACTGTAATATTTCTGGATACTAAAGTACTAAAGGTTTGACTTTGGATAAAAAACAAAAACTTGCAATAATGACTTGTACTGAATAAGAATATTGTATGTAACCATTATGATCCTTATCAAGTTCATTCAAGAATGAACAGATGAAATGTTATCTTAGTTAAAATCCAGAAATATCCTGAGTCCTATAACCAAATCTTATGTGGAATATGACTTTTCAAAGCTGGGAAAACACAGGAATAAGGTAAAAAGTGGGAAACTTAAATGGAATATGTCCATTGTTCATAGCAATATTCATGTTTTTGGCAGCTGTGTAATAATTTTGTGTGTGTCCTGTACTTTGAGTGGTGGACTGGAGAAGTGCTATATAAATTCATTCAATTTACCATTCCTGCCATATGTCTGTGAAGAGATCTGTAGAGGCTGAAGTATTTTTTTTTTTCCTCCTGATTAATGAGCAGCTTTTATTACCAGTGTGGTGAATTTTATCAATATTTGTTGTTAAGCTCTTTGGGTTTTTTTTGTTTTTTTTAAAGCAGAGGAATCGCAATATTTTATTAGATTACATTACATTATCAGATAATGTATTCCTCTCTGCTGTAGAATTCCATTGTTCATTTAAAACTACTCAACTGAGCATCAGTGATTCACTGGCTGACATATTCGTTTATTACCATTGACATGAACAATGTATTTTATTTTGACATAGTTCTTCTGTGGTATTTGTCCTTTTGCACAAATACTCACATCTATGGATTGCATCATATGCTCCCTCACTCACCACCTTCAAAATGGACCAAGAACTCACCAAATTTGCTCTTAATCTGTAGTTAATTTTATTTATGTATGTAATTCTTTTTTATGTAAAATATTGGTCTTTTAACTGCTATAATACCTTATTGTTTTTACTGCCACTATTTTAACCATGTTAAGTGCCTTGAGTATTATTTTTTTAAAGCACTATACAAATAAAATGTATTATTATCCACCACTTTGATAAACCATTAGAGGGGAAATCTTTTCAGAACAGCTTACATTCTGCAGTTAGAATGTCTCAAGTGCATTGTACTCCTTTTAGCTCATGTTGAATGTGTGTTTTGTGCCCCCTGCTATGGATGTACAACTGACTAAGAGACCATCTCCCTCAACCACCTTGTACAGGTTAAATATGACTCTCCCAGGACCAAATGGAGGGAACCTGCACCCTGGTGCTAACAGTGCTGTACCAAACTGTGGGCCACAGGATCCAGGACTGCACACCAATGTCTCTGCACGTCCTGTCTTCTACGTTCATGCGCCACCTCCACCCCCTTTCCTTCACTACCAGTGGCCCATGCCCTTCTCATATAACCCATTTACTGGCTTCCCAGGCATGGGTAAGGTTTTTTTTATTCTTAATTTTGTCAATTTGTTGCATTATTAAGTGAATGCTAACATTTTCATCTGCAGATTTTTTTTTCAGCAAAGTCTTTATTAATGTTTGTATTGATATTGTGAATCATTATGACATTGCCAGTAATTTGAAACATGAAGAAACATGTAATTTACTTACCCACAATTTTTGTCTACCTCTCAGGCTATGGTATGGTCATGCCCCCATTTCCTCCTCCCCCCTACATGGATCCTTCAGCCTATCTTTTTCCCCAGCCTCATATCCAAGCAGTTGACTACAGGCGGTTGCTCCACCCCCAGGTCCATGCTCCCAGTGCTCCCTTCTACAACCCAAACCAGACCCGCAGAGTTCGCCCCCCACATATAGTACAGCACAGAGAAACTATGAACTCTGAGGTCCAAACAGAGCCCTTACACAGAGATGCGGGTGGTTATGGTGGGGGAAGCTTACTTGCCAGCTCAGATTCTGGTAATGGAACAGCCTCAAACTCTCCATCTTCAAGCTCCAGTCCCCTAAAAAGAGGCTCTGCCAGTGTTGAGAATCACACCTTACCTAGCAGTAATGCAGAAGACTTCCAGATTAGTAAGGCCAGTATCGCAGTGAAACGTGGAATCAACGTCCCACATCCTGCGAACACTGTCCATTCACATATCAGAGCAACTCGAGAAACACAAAAAAGCTGTACAGATGCCATTAATCAGGAGAATGTTCCCCCTTGCAGAGGTGGTCACTGTAATATGTGGTCAGTGAGTTCTCCAGATAGTATAATCCCTATCTGTAGCTCTTCTCAAGAAGAGAATGAAGTTGCCAAAGAGAGACGTGTCTCTATTCCTGACATTCTGATGAGTTGGGGAGGTGGGACACCACAATCAAAAGTGATAAAAATGGCAGACAAGGTGCTGCCTTATTACAACCACAAGGTATTATCCCAAACTGAATTGGAGCATGAAATGCATCTTTACCAGAGCCCAACTGTGACTCACAATGCTCCAGTGATGACTCATGCTAATGATGCTGTGGGTGTGTTGAGTTCAAAGGCCAGTGAAACCTTTTTCAAGATCCTCAAACTACCTTTAGCTTTCTCAGATGCCAGAGGAGACAATGAGCTTATGGAACTGGATGGTACTTTAAGGCCTTGCTTACCCTGCCGAGATGAACTGTTGCATTCACAAAACAAATCCTACAAGATCTCAGATGAGCAAGAAGATGGCAATGAGACAAATCTAGAGGAAGACACTCCAGAAGTCATTCACAATCAAATGCCTTTAAATAGCTGCCAGATAAGGAAAAAAATGAATGAGTCTGTTTGGTCTGTGGAGTCTCTTCCCCCCTTTATCCCCTCCAAGGAGTGGCTACTGCAGAATGGGATGCTTGGACCTGAGGTAATTGTTGAGATGGCAGAGGAAGCTGAAAATTGTGAACAGTCAACAGAAAGTGACAACCTCATTGTCAAAGATGGTAAGATGAAACAGCATTGCAGGATTCCCTCTGCTGACTCTGTTCCACTGTCAGACAGCTGTCTAACTCTCAGAACCACAGCTCAAATGCCATGTCCAACAAAGGTGCCAGAAATGGATTATGAAATGTTTACTTCTGAAAGGAGAGGACCAACACAAGGCCAGGGCATGTCTCCAGAAAATGTTCCACTGATGTCCATCAAAGGCCTGCAGATCAAAATTAAATCTCCCCCCATTGCCAATGATGTGGATGAAAATGGGTCTTCTGAACCTGAGGCTAATCAAAGCCCAAACCAGGAACGTCTTATTGTAAATGAGCAAAAGGAGAAAACCCCCTGTCCTCCTGAACAGGAGGCAATTCTACTCTTGAGCCCTACATTAACAGAGGCAATCTCTTCTGCAGATCAACTGATTGTACAAAACATAATAGACATTGAGGTGGAATTTGCAAGTGGGAGCAAACTCAGTCATCTGAGAAATGAGCATTTGTGTGTACCAGGGGCTAAACAGGTTATGACCGAAGTGTCTCCATCAAAGGGACATTTCGTGGATTGTGGCATTCAGTGTACGGTGTTACAGGAGCTGTGTGCTTGTAAAGAGATGATGGGTGACATGGAAACCACAAGAATGCATCCTTTCAAATATTCAGGTGCTCTCCACCTTTATTCAACAATGAATGCTTTAGTTGTGTCATTATCTGGAGTGTGATTTAACTATTTCTTGTCTCATAGATGTGAAGATGGCAAACAAAGGGCAGGATGAAGGATTTGGCATAGATGGACACATGCAGAAAAACCAGAAGAGGCATAAACAGTGGAGGAACAGAGGTTCAGGTAATCCATGTAATTGAGAATGAATGCAGGCAATACTAATGTTCTGATAATAAATCAGATAGTTGGCATTGTAAGTGATTTGCCAGCTTTCAGTAAGCACCTCAGGTCTTGAATGTTCAGATGGAAAGTACAAGGACTTTGAAGTGTCTTGTTTATACAGAAAATGGAGTGAATTTGTTTTTCTCAAGTGAATGGACAAATCAATATTCTTTTTTCCCTAAATAATTTTTAATATATATTTCCATTTGAGACAAGTGCTTAAATACATTGACTGAACACTTTTGCTGTCCCAAAGAAAACATATGAAAATGCAGATAAAAACCAAAACAGGAAAAATGTCAACTTGGAACAGCTCCTGTGTGTAGTTTAAGATCTAAAAGTGATGTTCATAATCATTTTTCATGTTGAAATGCTGCTTAATCTTGAGCAGTGTTCACAAGTAAATGCCATTGTAATTTCTTAACTGAAGCCCCCTATCAAATGATGAGAAAAGCACAGCAAAATTGTTCAGACTTTGGCAGATATAAAAGTTCATAACTCTCCACCAACACTCTTAC